TGAAACTAGAATATTATAGTTTTCAAATGAAAAGCGTTTGAAGATAATTAATCAAGTTGTTCAAAATTCGTGCATTTAAATCCATTGCATAGTAAAGGTGCCCTTAGATAGATATTAATGTTTAAATATTTTTTGCGTGCACTTTTAAATTTGTATTATATCTTCGTAATTTTTGTTATTTATTTAATTAACTAGTTATGCATACTAAAATTCTATCAAAATGTTAAAACTAAAATTATAATTTTCACATTTTGATATAATTATCGTCTCTAAACGACTCCAAGAAATTAACAAATAGTGCGGTAGATCTGGGACTTATATAACCATATATTTATATAACTTTTTAATACGATTATTACATTTAAATATGATTTTGTTCTTATTTTTTTCAAATTTCGATTTTTATAAAGTAATAATATAAAAATTATTATTTTGATTTCTTTTTACTTTTTCTTCTTCCTTTTTTTTTGTATGTAAAAACAGAAGTTATACAAAAGCAAAAAAATATGGACATATTTTATATATAGTCATAAATATTAATATTTTAATATAAAAAATTTTTTATCGGGTAAGAAACAAAAATCTGTGTAGATTACTGCTTCTTGTATAAAGTTCATAATTTTTCAAGAAAAATTCAAAAATAAATAGCTAATAAGACATCTCAAAAACAAATATTTCTAATAGCAAATTGAATTAAATATATTTTAATTGATGCAAATTAAAGTCTCTCATATGTTAATTTATCTAAATGTCAAAATGTGAGAATGTACGAGCATTAGAGTCTAACTATTTATATATCTTTGCACATATATGCTCATGTCAAGCGAGACGAGACTCGACGGTACAGCCCGTTGGAGCAGTTATAAACTCTTTTGAAACACCCTGTATATATAATATATATAATATATAGTATTAATAATCAATAATAATATCAGTTTGTATTGTACAGGTTGTTTGGGGGGGGGGGGATGGGGTCCGAAAACCTGTGGTCTCTCTAAAATTCACTTCAAACCCCGTGTCGCACCTATGACGCTCCGTCTGTCGTTTATGCTCTACTTAAATCGCTATTTATTATTATTATTATTATTCGTTATTTTATTATTATTATTTTCTCATAATATATCTTATCATGTTTCTCTCTAGGAGTAGTAAAGAGTGTGACATAACGGATTCTATCATATGATTCTTATTTCTGTCATTCATTCACTTTTTGTCTCTCTCTCCCTCTTTTCCTCAACTCCCCCTCCTCTTTTTCTTAATCTCTTTAACGAAATAATCATATTGTTATTATAACTTTAATAATTACCTAAGTAATCATTTACCATTACCTTTACAATTTAATATGTAGCATTTTCTTTATCTATCGTAGATTTGTCTGTGGCTATCCCTGATGTGTTAGTTACCCTGCGCTTCCGTCTGGTTGTCGAAATATTGTTGTGAAATTGTGGTCTACGATTAAAAGTATATTCAACGTTTGTCCCGTTTATTTATATTCTTTCTTTTTCATTTCTTGCCTTTCTGATATTCAGATCAGTATGATTTCGGTGAATTTCAGTACCGCGGGCAACGCGCGAACGCTTTTTCTTCACGTCTCTCTTTCGTGTGTGATCGAGAATTAAACTCTCCGAAATTATACCGTTGTCGATCTTCAATTTCTCTTGAAAAGCATTTCGATACTCGTCAAAACACGGCAATTGCGCGTGCTTGCCTCGTTCCTCGTCGAATTATCCGTTCGCAACGAGTCAAACCAGAGATAGTCGTTCGCGTCTCGACAGATCGCGCGATTTTTCGTTTCTTGCTCGTGTTGTCAGATTCTTCAAAACGTGTCGCGAAAAACTCGAACGGAAAGAAACGAGCAAAAAATAAAATAATCAACAATTGAAAATTTTATTTACAGACATGACGTGTCGTTACTAAGTAAATGAATTAGTCCTTAAAAATTATACGCATCGGAGCATGCTGACAACGAGTAAAATTTTCGGAGGATTGGCAAACAGGAAATCTTGGCAAGTTGTCGCTAGTTATTGCGTCATCCACGTTCGTCGCGCAATTCGGCAGGATTACTTTTTTTTATCAGACATGAAAAAAGGATTGCGGACGACTCGCGCGAAAGTGACACTCGCTTTCGTGTCAATGATATTCTCACCTTATTCAATTGCATTCGAGAAGCTCTATTTAAAAACCGCATCAATGACTACGTACAAAATGTGTTAATTAAAAAATCATCGAATCATAAACTAAAGCTAATCTATAAGCTAAAACTAAAAGCACTAAACTAAATTTGAAAAAATTCAGAAAACTTAATTGAAATTAAGATTTAAAAAATTCATCATTTTATATATTACGTTAATATATGTCCATTGATTTTGAATACAATTTAGAAATTTCGAATCATAAACTAAAACTAAAAGCACTAAATTAAATTTAAAGAATTTTAGAAAATTTAGTTGAAAAGATTAAAAAATTTCATGTTGTATATATTATAACAATTATATATGTCCATTGATTTCAAATTCAAGTCAGAAATTTCGAATTATAATTATACGATTATATATCATTATAAAATACGGCTAATCACATACATAAACGTCATTCGCTCAAAAATGTTTTTTATTGTCCAATTTTTCATCGTTAATTTAGATATAAATTAATAATCAGTTATTTATATATCATACAATAACTGAAGCACAGTAAATTAATTTACAACATATGTTGCAATAATAAAAAAAATTTAACTGGTATTGTTCAATAGGATTATCCAATGATTTTTATTTTCATAACTTCACTTAGAAAAGGAAAAGAAAAAATTCTGCTAGATATTATAGTTAATCTGTAATTTTATATTGAAATCCTGCAATTATAATACCTAGTCTTTTTTATTTTATTTTTTTTGTATAATTTCTACAATTTTATTATATATGTTTTCTTTTTTTTTTTCAAAGTCAAAGAAGGTTTAAAATGAGCTTCTCGATGTGCTATTTTTAATTGCCATATATCTCACTACTAAAAAAAGTTTTGTTCCATCTCACCTCAGATGCTTTATCTATCGTAAACATAATCGTCATTTTCCGTTCGAGGCGTCCGTTATACTGACAACGGGCCGTGCGAGCTTTCTCCGACGATCGTAAGTCCATCGTAACAGTCATCGTACTTTATTCAGCCGTTAGTAAATACTATTTGGTACATGATCACTTTTGCAGCAGGAACTATTACGTAGCAGTGGTGCCGAGAGTTTTCTCGCGATCGCGTCGGCAAATGTTTTTGATGCCATTTCGTTCTCGCAAAAAGATCGGACAATCTTCAATTCGCGTCTTTCAAGAAAGAATCGGTGACTGAGTGAGAACGATGCGCTAAAACAAGACGATGACATTCGGCATCGTTGACGAGTCTGACTGAATGAATTCGAATGTCGAAGGAGGAATGTAGATTTTGCTATCAAGATTCAATTTTGATGAACAAAAATTCTACTTTTAATTTTGTCTTTACTTAAAGAGATGTTTTTGGAAAACAAATCTGCCGAATAAACACTTACTAAGAGTCAGTCTTGAAATTATATTCACCGAGAGTCAAACTGTATGAACTACGGTCCGACGAAGAGCTCTTGTTGAGTATTGTTTGAGTATTGTTCTTGACAGCGGTAAAAATCTCACGCGGCCCAACCATCGACGGAGGAAAGACACAGCAACGAAACCCAAGTGGCAAGCACAGAAACGAGCGGAGAGCAGTTAATGGCGCTTAAGCGTGGATTGAGCAAAGCTCGAATGTTCATCGAGAGTGTACCCTGCGGAGAGCTGCGAGTCGGTTGGTAAAAGTCAGTCTTGTGAAGGATAGTGTCTCGTGTTGAATCGCGCGCGTGTAAATCTATATAACCCCCATGCGACGAAGCGTCTCATGGAGGGAGTCGCTTAATTAACTATCGCGCAATTAACCCTCTGGCTGCGACATGTGAAACTGTTTTCTCAAAATATCCAAAATCCGCAATCCTCACGAGAAATCGATATATATATATATATATATATATATAATGTTATGTCAATATAATATATATAAAATATATAATATATTACATGTATTATATCGAAATGTATCAATTTTACAAGAAACATATCATAGTTGTTTGAAACTAATTTGATTCTCGTTGAAGAATATAATTGAAAGCTTTATAAGCTTTTGAGTTTATACGCGAGTGTGAGTAATTTCGACGATGACAGCTGACATTCTAGAAAAAAAATCAATCTCAAATCTTCTAAGATGTTCTCAAGATAATTAGCTAAATTATGATATTTGTGACGTTCGCGGATTATCGGATTTATAACGTGACAATTACTGATCAATCGCGGTATTCGCAGCCAAAGGACTAATCGACCATCCGCTCAGCCCACAGTGGGGAAAGGTAACAAATCAATCATCGCTTAACATCAACATACAAGACGTACCATTCTAGTCAAACGGTTCCACTCAATCCTAATCGGAACCGTTCTGCTGTAGCAACGCGGGCGCCGACTGCGTTGGTTGCGGTTGCATCGACGGCTCCTGATGATGGTGGTGGTCAACAATGGGAGATGGTGTCTCGCTGGTCTGCGAGTTCGTCAGGTCGCCACCACCGCCACTGCTGCCGCTCCCATCCCCTCCCCCACTTACGCACCCACCCCCGCCCCCGTCAACGCCCGGATTCACGGACGATTCGAAGGCCTTCTGCTCGCTTGGGGGTAACATATGCACCATATTCACTGCCAAGGGAAAAGACGCGGTGGCATAGTCGGCGGGATAGAAGCCCTGCGGCTGCGGCATGTTGCCGCCGAGTAGACCGCGATGGGGGTAGCCGCCGTTGTCCCCCGGATGCTGCAGCGGCAGACCGGTGAGCCCGTGGCTCATCTGCGCGGACTGCTGGACGGGCTTGATGTTATTGTTGTTCATGGGTATTTCAGGGGTGTTTGCGCCGGTACAGTTCCTACGTAATTGCTCAAGCTTTAGACTCTTCCCATATTTACCACGCACGTACATCAGCAAGCTGTTGTAGGGAATACCGAACATTCGACTAGCCTGCGACGTGGTTAGTTTTTTTTCCCAAACATGTTGCAGGGCCAGGGTTAGTTCGTTATTAGTCCAGGACCGTGGTGGTCCTCCTCGCGGAGCGCTGTGCTGCCCTTTGGGCCTATTAACCGCGAGTGCTCGAGTATTGTGATCTGACCATCTACGTGGCGCGTCACCGTCATTACGATGCTTCTTCGTCTTTTTGGTGGTCGGAGGGCCGAGACTGGGAGTACCGAAGAGATTTTGCAACGCCTCCGGCTTAAAGTTGTCCGTGAGTAGCGAATCCGCGAGGATGCCTCTGTCATACGTGCTGGCATGGTGCGAGAAAAGTCCGCCGCCCAGAGCTGTCACACCGTCCAACGTCGGCGTGAACATCGCCATAGCGCTACGTCGCGGCAGCGACGATTCTTGTTGCTGCTGCTGCTGATACGGATGAGATCTGCTGGAACTATGCGGACTGTCCTCGCGTGGATGGTGGCTTTGGGCCGGCGGCGGTGGCGGCATTTGACTCTGCGGATGCCCGGGTAGCCATTGGCCCGCGAGCTGGCCGAGGCTTGTCAGGTACTCGGGAGGATGCGGTTGCGACAGCGACAACGTCGGCATGGTCGGTAGCGACAGTGCTACAGTCGCCGCTACGGCCGCTGCTACGGCCGCCGGGATGTCCGGTACAGGACCCTCCGAATGATGCAGTAGACTCGTCCCCGTGAGCGGTGAGCCGCGTGGACTGCTCGTCGCTTCGCTGCCCTCCGTCTTCACATGATGCTGATCTAGTCCGCTCGGCGATATGGGTTTTTTCATCGAGAGATTCTCCGCCATGTCCTCATGCAACTGCTGCTGCTGCTGCTGCTGCTGCTGCTGCTGCTGCTGCTGCTGATGCTGATGCTGCTGCTGTTGTTGATGGTTCTGCGCGTTGTTAATCGATTGTTGTTGATGATACTGAGATTGCTGCAGCAATAGCTGCTGTTGCTGCGCCTGGTGCTGACCACCGCTGAGATTAAGAACGCTCGTCAATGGACTCGAGCTGACCGGCGGGGTCAAGCGTCTGCTCAGATCTTGCGGTAGCAATTCGCCGGATCTCCGGCGCGGACGCGCCTGCTTCCGGCGTGGCATTGACGGCGAGCCGCAACTCTCGCGGATACCAAAGTTCATGTGGCCAATGAGCGGCTTGGCCGGATGGTCCCTCGTTGGTTGAAACAGGATAGGTTTCATTTCCCTTGTGCTCTCCAACGCGACGTTTTCGTCCTCCTCGGGTGTGCCATGCCGCGCGACCTCCGGCGTCGGTAGCTCAGCCAGTATCAGATCGCGCGTCGGCGTTGACGCCAACGACGACGGCCTGGGCTCCGTCGACACCGGCCTCGGCTCCGATGAAGACAGCCCACGCACCTGCAGACACTCCGCGGCCTTCATCAGCCCCGGCAATTCCTCCTGTGCGATCTGCACCTCGCCGCGATATATGAAGTGCACCAAAGTGGACAACTCGTGATGCGAGAAGTCCTTCAGCACGATCACGGGGTGCTTGCACGGATTTTCTGCGAATATCCTCTCGAAGAAAGGACTGTAACAGGAAAAGCGACTTCGTACGATTAGGATTACGTCACTCTTCCTAAATTTAATTCAAAAAAAAAAAAAACTATTTTTTTCCGTTTTGATTGATCCACATTGATTTTCGCTAACTACGTTACGGCACAATCGCTCGGGAAAATTTTGCACCACGCTATTTGCAACGTTACATGCGTCCCGGCGTGAAACGTTGCGTGTCTTCGCTCAGTAAGATAGAACGATGGCCAGAAACCGCGGGCAAAAAGCCACCGCAAGGATTAGCGCTCCTTCCCGATCGAGCGACGGGCGAATCAATCAGATGGTACAAGACTTTCGCTCGTTGTCAACTTTACGTCACACGTCTCGCGCAAAGCGAGAAGAGCGTTGCGGTAACGTGTAGACGGTATACGGCACTTAGTCGCCCGGTAAACCACGAAGGTAAGAAGCGACGAAGAAATTTTTCTTCAGATAAGAGAGACCTGCCGAGCGCAAGAACCACTCTCGGTTTCAGTGCGCATCGCTTCTTTAAGATACACTATACACTTCCGCCGATCAATAAAACTCGACTGATCGTTTTCAATCGAGGCGAGGAATCGCTAGAGGGGCAAGTAGTGTAGGAAGTTACTGTCACGAGATACATGGGCAAAGGCGGAGAGTTTAGAAAGCTTTAAACCTTTGCCGTCGAACAAATATTTCTTATTCTGTAAGCGTTCTTTTTTTTTTATCGATATCGAAACGAGGCATTTCACTTAGAATAACGTGAGTGCAGTGTATCACTATTGGTCTCATAAATATGTTGCGTAAACATTTTTCTTTGTCGCTTCTAAATAATAAAAGCAACTCATGAATTCTGCAGAACTGCAAAATAAAAATAATTGTTTTAAATGTTAATTATATAAATCAGTAATTTCTCATTGATTTGATTTAATCATTGAAAATAAAGATTTAGTCAATTGTCACAAATAAAGAAAAACAGCCTTATTTGGTATTAAATCGAATCTTGCAATTAGTGCCTAATAATATTTTTACGTAAATTTTAAATACGTTTTTCAGTTTTATAAAGTGCGCGCCGACTACTGTTGGACTTGAAACGCAATCCTAAACTAAAGCTGGTTTAGTGATATCGCAAATAAAATTGATCGTCAATTAAATCGTCAATTTAATAGTAATAATGCTAATATGCATCTTAAAACATTGCAAAGAATTTATTGCGCAAAATATCACCCCAATCAAGATTCAAATCTGAACATCCCTTACTACCCGGAACAAGTATTTCTATAAATTCGACCACTGACATGGGAATACAACTGTCCTTTTCTAATTTTAATATGCTTTGGATTTGTCAAAATACAGATAAAAATAAAAGACACGTACTTTTTTATAAGTGCTTTCTCCCTTTCTTAAAAAGAATAATCATTATTTTCTTCCAAAGCTAATTGTCTAAACTATAAAAGACAATTTCATAACAAAATTTTTAATAAAAGTACTCCTGAATAGTTTCAAGAGAATAGTTTCTTTATAATAATTAAAAAATTTCTTTCTTTAATTTTATAAAAATATTTTTAAGGATATTTTAATTTTTATTTTCATGTAAAGATTTGTTAATTTTTTATTATTATAAAATCCGCCTGAAACTCTTTGATTTTTATTAAACACTTTTTTTTATTTTTTATAATTTAAACAATATTTCGTTTCGATTTTTTTTTTCATAAGAAGATTTCATCGTCTTAACGTGCGAGGAGGCAGTTATAAAAAATATATATTTCTTATTTTTATCTATATATTTTAACAAAACTTATTAAAAGGAGGGGAGCACTTAATTATATTTTCTTGTAAGATATGTGGTGATATTTATCGCAATAATTAATAAATAATGAGAGAATGTCATTTTCAAATGACGTGAATAAGTAATAATAAGTGAAAATGGAACATAATGATCCATTTTCACTTGTTGTTTGGTAAATCATGTTAAAAGTGAAAAAAAAAAGATTAGAGTAAGATTCAGAAAAATTATTCAAAAAAATTCAGCGAAAAGAAACTCTACTTTTAGGACTTACCTGCAGGCACTGAGGACAACTTTGTGTGCCTTGACGCTGCTGTCGGCGCAGATCAGGGTCACGTCGACGAGCATTTCTGCTTGCAGCAGCTCCTCGAACGCCCGTTGTATGTGGGCGAGATGGTTGTGCCATCGTAAGGAATAGTGCGATTGCAGAGCCATTCTGTCAGGACTGTTCCCGACGCTCGACATTTTTCTTCCGCCGCTACCGCCGGAAGCCGGTGACTTAGCAGAGCCGCCACCTTGTCCCACCCCGTTCTCTCTCGTGCGTCTTTGTGGTTCTGCGCGAGTCTACCTTTTCCATGCACGCTCGCACGTGACCACGTACGTTATTACAATAGCAGCTACTTCTTTGTTCCCCTTCTCCTCCGACGCCCTTACCGCCTACTCTGCGCTTTGCCGTTTTTCTGAAATTTGAAAACGTGGAAGCGATGGTTAGAATTAAAGGTCGTCTTATATATATGTAAAGGGATATAGACAGAGAATAGGGGAAGAAGCAGTAAGGAAGAAATAGTAAGGAGTAAGGAATAAGGAGGTAAAAGGAGAGGTATTGAAACGCGTCATCCCGAAGGTCATGGGAGGTAGTTTCCAAGTGACGTGCTCTTCGACTTTTCTCGCCGTTTGTCGAAGTTTCGGAGGATCCAAGGAAGGGTGTGCGCCCGCGCCGATATCAAGCCGGGCAATTAGAAAGTTTTTACAATAACGTGCTCGAGATACGGCAAGAACGTTGAAGTCAACGTGTTCCGTACGGATGCTGCTTCCGAACGGCGCGTGTCAATTTTAATCTGGGATTACACTTTTAACTTGCATTACTTTTCTATTTCTCACACGTTCCATGACTGTGTCCCAACAGGTCAGCGCAAAGTTAAAATTACAGCGACTTTTTATGGCCCATGTGGCCCGCAACCGGCCATTTCATTTTCCACATATATGTAGTCAACCAATTCAATCATGGATCAAAGAATCATTGGACGAAGCATACACTTCCGATTGGAATAAAAGGAGTACGAATTTAGCGATAAAAAGAAATCTCCCTCAGGCGCAAATCGTGCGAGTCGTTTCGACTAACTCGGAATCATTCGAATTACTTGTCTCGTGATTTTCTTGTGTAGCTGTGTGATGACAGCTGTATATACAATATTCTCACGTAGAGCCGAATATATCCGAAGCGTGTGTAAGCGAACATTTAGCCAAAGCGCGTCATCATTAACTCAGAGGTACTCCGTCCAGAGATTCTTTCCTAAAGGTTTATTTTTTTTGGTTACCAAGTATGGTACCAAATTTGGTTACCAAATACATATATCAAAATCTATCCGGAGAGACGTTTTTCGAATCGACACGTGGAAACACGCGAGGACATACCTTGCAGTACTGAAAGTTATCAATTATTATTATCAATCGCGACCACGCGTTTACGATTTCCAAACAAATAGGTCTCGGAATGCGAATCTCGGTTTCCATAAATATGGACTTTTTTATTTTCTTTCTTTAAAAAAAAATTTATATATAAAATGCAAGTAAAGACAGAATAAAACATTACGAAACCACCGGTAGAAGAAAACAGTTTCAATCTAAGTCCCGTATGGAATCTAACTGACACCCGTCTTTCGGATAAGAAGAGCTAACGGCCGTGTCGGGAATGCGATTTTGCAAAGATTGCGAGCTGCGTTATGCTGGCATTACCGTCGCTGAGACAGACGATCGTCGGATATACGTGCTGTTCCCGGGATGGCACACGCGTTAATTATTTATCCCGGCCGAATACGCGATAATTACGGAATCGCACTTCGGGCGATTCACCCGCCAAGTATTTGGCAGCATCGGCACTCGTTTCATCGACGGTCGGGTGTGTTTGGCTACAAATAATTTCGTGTGGTTTGATAAAAAGGAGTAATCTAAAAAAAAAAGGGCATGCGTGGCGATCACGATTAGGTCGCACACTCTCTGACGTCGCCTAACGTTCATTGCGTCGGAGAGACGGTTTCCGAATCGACGCGTGAAAACACGCGAGGACACACGTTGCGGTACCAAAAGTTATCAATCGCGACCACACGTTTGCGATTTCCAACGGAATGAGAACTAATAAAGTTACTAATAAATTTTATAATTTTCTTGGAGGCTAAAGTATATCCATGCGTCTGATCGCTGACTGACAATGTACCCGTCCAATTCTTGGAAAGTTGCTAGAAGACGCTAATCCGCGAGAGTAACCCGTCTCTATCAATCATCCGTTAAATTGCAACGATTCGTAAACTTGTCGAGAAGGCACGTCACACGGACACGAGCGAAGTCTGTGTTCTTTTTTTTTGTTTTTTTCCCTTTATTCGTAACGCTTGTATATAAATGTACAACTTTAAATTAGGTCGATGGGGCCATAATGAACTGTACTTAACGAAATTGCAAATTTATTTTTAATTAGTTCGTGCACTGACTCCTTTCCCCCTTCTCCTCCCTCTTCTCTCTTTCTCTCTCTCCTCACCCCTCTACGTCAATAAAACACACTATTTAACATACAGATAAGTATGTTTTGCACGCAATTCTAACGGAATGGATGACCCTCGAATTTCTATACGTTTCTCTAGTTGTCTGTACATGACAGGAATTGAAACGAATGACGTAGCGTTCGTGCGTTTATTTTATAATTAAAACGTAATTAATGGCAAAAGGCGGCAGCACACGTGCGTAGGCGCACGACGTGACCTGGAACGAGCGTACACCTCTTCAACGTCATTCGCACATATGCGACAGCTTCGATTATAAACTGCATCCGATTAAAAACCCACCCACAGATATCGCTCCGATAAATCACTCTAATCGCAATTACGCTAGCGATAATACAATAACGATAAAAATAATAGAATCGCGCGGGGGAGGGATAAAGAAAACGCGAGAGCACACCGCATGTGAAATAAGAGAATCCTCCCGCTCAATTTGCGTTCGAAAGAGCTTCTACGTGAAACGAATATCCCGACAGCACCGCGTGACTTTAAAAAATCTCGGAACATAGAATCGCGCGCGCGCGGTATCGAATGGAATAGAGGAGTTTCACTTACGCCCTGCGCGTTGTCAATCATCTACTGCCAGAGTCGCTGCCATTATCGATGCTAAATGAGCAATTAATAAAAGCGTTCTTTATCAGCCGGATAATTAATTGCCAAGCTGACGGCATTCTTGCGATCGTAAATAATTCCTCTCGCAGAAGAGATCGAGATATGCACACAACGGACTACGAATAACAAACAATAACGAAATGCAAATAACGCATGAGTCCTAATGTGAATGTCACGCGGCAGGACCAAGTAAATTGAGCTGACTTCTCGACCTACTGCTAAATCATGACGGCGAGCGCAAAATCGGCGAAAGCGGCGCTCAAAAACCCGTCGTTTCGCTTTGACAAGAAGTACCTCACGCGAGAGAAATACTTTTCTCTCTCTCTCTCTCTCCGGCCGTTCGCGATTCACACGGAGAGCATGGCTCTCCCAGGGAGCCGCCGGGCCGGGATACGCCACTGTGCGCCATCGAAAACTCTCCGCAAGTTTGTTGTCAAACTCGCACGTGTTCGGAAAAAGCGCGGATTTACGTCGACCAGTTACTCTTCCGCGTCCTCCTCTGTTTGCCCGGGCTTTATTTTCCTTTTTCATTTCCGCGTCCGCGTCTCGAGGAGACGCGTTGTACGTTGCACGCGGACGAACTATTAGTCATAACGATGCGTAACATCCGAAACTTCTCGTCGGACGCGAGACGAACAATTTATGCGGAAAAGAGCAGGATTTAATGTCAATTCGCGCGGGATCGCGATGGCATATATGGAAATTCAAAATTCTCGTAACAGAAATGCACACTCGATGAGATGATAGCCGCTCGAGAAGATCGGATTCTCATTCTCGAAGTCCTAACTTCGGTAACCAAGAGATACACATGTGAGAAAATTAATTGTCGCATCTCATATTACTATCGATCCTGAGCGAATCATTATCCAACTGTAGACCTGACAAAAACAGGAAGCAAGTAACGAGTCTACATTGGGGAAACTGTAATTACAGAAGATTAAACGAATTTACGACATTTAATTTGTATATCCTCTTCAAACGTATAGATTTTTCCATATTTTCCGTCTATATTTTAAAACTTTTCTCTTGAAATTTTTTTTGTTTCAAACGTAGAGGATATATTTCTTTATGTTCCCTATATATGGTCAAAACGTGTCTCTGTCGTTACACTCCGCCACAAAATATTTCTCAACGTATCGCATATTGTAGTTCCGTTGAATTTGACAAGAATATAACGATAATTACTTATATTTTTATTACTGCGTTTCCCAAAAAGCGACAAAATAGACCTCGTTAAATGTAATACAAGAAGCATAATTCAACGCAAGCGTTCATTGAATAAAAAAAAATCACATAAACAAATGCATAATTTTTTTTTCTTTCAAACTCGCTCTTCCTTGTCAGAATTCATGCACGTTACGCTTGAAAATTTATGTAGACTACTTTACAATTTACCGATAACATCGTAAACGTCCATTTAAAATTGACTCATGGCTCGCAATCATAAATACCAGGTACGCAACGAAGCTCGGATGCGATCATCACACAAATCCAAACAATAGATTCTGCTATAGTTGAGGATTAAAGCACCGGTCTCGCATGACTGGTTCGATCTTCACTCGGAACTCTTAAGGTGGATCCACATTATCGAGCTAAATCTCGAGTTGAAGCTAAAGACAAGCTTCGAGAAATCGAACTTCTTCACAGGTGTGCGTTCAAAATTCTATCGAACATCGTGAGCGTCGCGTGCATTTCCACAATCCCCACATTGTAACTGGGCAATCGTTTTCTCGTTTAACTCGATGCTCGGCTCGTATTGTCCAATGCGTAATCTTCCTGCGCCCTTTGATGCGACAACGAAATATCGCCGTGGATGAAACACTGTAAGTCGGGCCACTTCATCGGAGCCGCGAGACGTCCGATTTCATAATGTGGACGCATATTAGACTCGCGATCGAGGTTCAGCTTCAAAATTAGCTCGATAATGTGGACCAACCTTTACAGATCTTCACGATTAAATGTCATGAGTTGGATCCCTTTGGCGGGTAGGGCACACATCCTCTTCGTTAATACAACGCGTTCGGTTTCAAATTAGAGAATAGAATTCTCCAAGTCAGTGGGCATGGAATTTGCGAAAAGCGTCGTTCCTCCATGGCACAAGCAACACATCCGACATTCGAAAAACTATTTATTACTCGTTGAAATCATAGAGCTCACGCCGTGTTCGCCGATTTTTTATTCGTCGGGCAGAGAGAATGCAATTTCAAAGTCGGAAAAACACAGGCGGAAGAACAATGCACAAGTTCAACGCGATCTAATATGTTTTTAAGATCTGGCCACTCGCGTCACAATCCGGAGCACGCAGGAACACACGACGGGATCCATCTTCAGCGTCACATTCGCTCGTCCCAAACAATACCTTCGAAGGTCATCTTCGAAGCCTCATGCATTCTCGCAGAATTCCGGAGCCAGGACGGGGGTCCGGGAAGTCCGCGCGAGCGGGACGATCCAATTGACAACGACGCGGGAATTTTGCGCGGGAAGACTGTGAATGGAAAGACGTTTCGTGGAACAATGAACACGTTCCTATTGTGTGACTATATATGCGTGCTGGAGCAAGAGTTAAAGATGAAACGAAGAAAAGGGAAGATTAATGAATAAGGAGAACCGAGAAAAACGGGAATTTTCCTCACGGCACACACTCTGCAGCTCAGGGCGTTAATTAAAGAGAAAGAATCGCATCAAGAGAGAGTTGCAGAAGAAACATATCGCGATGTAAGAGAGACAAATACGTGTAACAAAGAGATACGTAGTTTCTAGGTAAAGATAATTTTTTTATATGTTGTAGAAATCTAAATGAGATCTTCGTGTTGTTTTGTGCTCTGTACAAAAAGATGGCAAAATACGAAACTTGCAAAAGTCCAATCCACTAATATCGCATTAGTCTCACGCACACAACTGGTAAGCAATGACGCGTTGTTGCGACGCTAAAGGAATTCTTTAAACATATCACAGCGAAAGCGAGACGAGGAAAGAGAATATACGAAAAGGGGAGCACTGCGCCTTTAAACGATCAGCTGATTCTTCACTGTCACCCACCGTATAGCGAAGAGATCACAAAAGGGTACGAGGAGAACCACCGGCGTCGACGTCGGCGACGGTGGTGCGTCTCACGTGGCGATTTTCCCAAAAGTATTTTGGCGCACACACGTGCGCGACACGTTTCTTTTTGGGAGGGAGGGGGGACACCGCACCAAAACAAATCGGTATAACGCAAATTGCAAGCACTTTCTCGACGAGAGCAAGAGAGAAATCTCGACGTCAACTCTCGCCCGCGTGTACTGCCGAGTAAACACCGCGCGGGTAAACACTGGGCTTTCGAGTTTCACAAAGTCGCTCCGGGACACCACAGGGGGCGAGAATTCACTCCGCGGCACGCGGAGGATACGAGGAAAGAGGATTGCGGATGGTGGTCCGAGGGTTGACACGCGTATCTCGCGGCCACGATGAGATCACGCAGGAGACGCCAGGAGGAAGCGCGTATGTGCGCGCCGCAGCGCGCGCGAGGGGGTGGTCGAGAGAGAACTGACCGTGTCGTGCGGAATTGCGTGTGCCACACACAGAGCGGCGTCGGCGACGGCCGGTGAGTGAATGCGCCGTGACGTGAAGGCGCCCCTCCTAAGATTCTCGTCCCTCTCTTAAGCCTCCATACATACCCCATCATCCCTCCTTCTCGCCGCTTCTTCGTCCAAGTTAGCGCGCCTCTTTCTTCATGGAGTTGCTCGCACTCGCTCGCGCTCGCAGCTTTCAACCCTATCTTCCCTCTCGCTCTACTTCTCCCACCTTTCGTTCTCTCACTCATGTGCGAATCACTCTCCTTCCTTTCCCCACTCTTCCATCTCGGTTTCTCTACCGTTATCCCCTCCTACTTGTTCGAACTTGGTTGCTCACTCTCTCTCTCTCTCTCTCTCTCTCTCTCTCTCGCTCTTTCGTTCTCGATCTCTTTCTCTCTCGCTCTTCCTCTCTCCACCCTCGACGTTTATTTCGTGCCGTTTCAACCAACGTCGCGGACCGCGAACTGCTACCCTTTCCTTGCTTTCTACTTTGAGAAAAGCCACCGTCCGAATGCGAATGTGCATTCTTCATGCTTTAACCGGTCTTACTTAAGTCGGTGGTACTGTAGCCTATTTTAGTGGGCTAGAGATCCATAAGGAGCCAAAAAGAAAAAGAACTAGTCTTAGTGTTTTATTTGAATATATCTATCGTTGCGATGTTGGAAAGTTTGAGCCATCTTTTTTGAGCGTGCCCTTTAATACATCCGACGTTCATAGATTGATATTCATGATTTATAAGATTTTTTTCGTGTTACAAGCACCTAATTTTTTGCGACATTGCAAGAAAGTTTAGATTTGTTTAGAAGTTTGAAGATGCATGTCTTGATCCATATAATTCAAATGTAAAAAATTATGATAACAAACTTTTTAATATTTTTGATACTTCTGCATTCACTTAAATATATGTGTAAATATTTACAATTAAATAAATTCATTTGTAAATAGCTTTATAGTATATTAAATAGATTGATTCATAATTTTGTTCAAGATCATACGTGCATCGTTTCTTACATTTATTAACCAGGAGTTGCTTAAAATTTTACATTTTTCAAGAAAAAGATTATTTCTTTCCGCGATTTTATTGAAAATTGATTCAAATACGATAGTTGATATCAATTACAACTGTCTTGATTGACATCTATTAACATTAACATTAACATTAATATATTTTGCACGACTGCATTGCTTCCTTTTTAGGAAGCTTTGCTCTTTTTTTAGTCAACAATTCTTACAATTAGATACAAATAACTATATATACATACTTTTAGGACGACGACATTATTTTTACACGCAGCTAATTCTTTTTAACGCCTCTGTTAAAAAATATTTAAAATAAAAAAATTGTATGTTGCCATAATAATAGAAAATTTTCATTCCTCAAAACTTATTCTTATCGCTGCAATAGAATGCACTAAAATTTTCTCGCTTTCCAAACTTCAGGGTTCGTATTCAGAATATACTTTTTAAAGATAAATATGTGCTTTTACCTCTAAAAGTCTTTAGCATTATACGTAACGTAAACTATAGCGTGTTAGCGCTCTACGATTTGAGAAATACTTGCACCGATAATGCGGACTGCGGAGCGGCACACGGATTCGACACGCTCGCCGCATGCGGCGAAATCAGCCTATGACTTATACGCGAACTTATTACATTATGGCGACATGAATAATATATATATTATTATCGCGACATATAATTTTTTTTAATTTTAAATACCGTTTAACAGAAATGTGCACAAAGAGTTGGCCGCCCGTGTAAAAATAATTTCACTCCATCCCAAAAGTATGCATACATAGTTATTTGCATTTAAGAATCATCAACTAAGAAAAAGAGACAAGAAAGCAATTATGCAAGATATATGTTAATAAATGTCAAGGAAGACAAGTTTAATGGATTCTGTCAATATTGAGAAAGCTACAATTTTATTGTATTTATAGTACGTTTAAGTGTACAATTCAAAATGAAAAGTATATATCGTATTCTTTGGGTGACAATGACAACGATGACAACAATAATGACGACATTTCTTGAACGTAAATTTGCTGATTCGAACTTTGTAATATTTTCACTCATACGATATGTAGAAAAAAGATAACACTTTTTTTATATAATTCAAACCCAATTAAATCTATTAAGAACTCAATTGGCCCAGCAGTTTTTGAGATACGATATTTTAGGTATCCGCGAGATACGCCTTTTCGGAAGAGGCTAAAATTTAAATTGTAGTAATTGTTTCTTAGCCTGTTAACTGTTACTATTTCTTGTCTATTCAGCGAAATTTTATAATACCATTGTTCTCAACGGATAATATAACACGTATTGCGACCTTTTAATTCTAAAAAGTTCTTCTAAACTGATGATTCGAGCATAGATATGGTCACGAGTCTGTTTCGTCGCATACGGCGAGTCGAATGATTGTCCATACGCTACTCGCGCTACTCGGCGCGAACATTTCTCAAATCTTAAGTCGTAGCTCTGTTTTTTGTAATTGTATACTCGATATATTTAAAAAGAAATACATATATATTTGAAGTTTGGAAGGCGAGAAAATTTTAGTGCAGTTCAGTGCAGCGACAAAGAATAAGTTCTAAGGAATGAAAATTTTTTATTTCGTTTTAATCCATTCAATATATATTTATTCATTTCATCAATTTCATTTTAAATATATTTCAATTATTTATAACTAAATGAATTAAATAGTTTAGAGATTTTCACCTTCGCGAGCGGTCAAAACTAGAGATCAAGACTAAAGGTTCTTTGTAATCAAATATTATTTTAGATTCTTCTTATATATATCAAAATATTCAAAGGATTGAAGTTAATCTTGATATAATTTTATTATTGAAATAAAAAAATTGTTAATTATCTCAGATTAATTCAATAATAATATGAATTAATAATGTATAATAATGTATAAGAATAGCATCAGTATGCAGTTATACTTATATTTTCCAGGAATTTATAGATATAATAAAACTTTTGCATACAGCGTATTATAAAGAATAAATGGTATATAAGTTACATCTTGTTACATTTATGTTCAGAAAAATATTCATAAAAAGTTATATATTATATTTTCTCAATTTAACTCTTTGAGATGCGTTATGTCTCCATGTGTTTTTTTTCCTTCTAAATAAAATTAATTCGCAAAATTGTTCGATATGTCGCAAAAATCAATTCAATTCTAACAGCATTAGATTCTTTGAACTGTGTCGTACAGTGGAATGAAAATAAATCAGTTATCGTCCAACATGTAAGGCTATATAGGAATATTCTTGTAATTCAACATGGGATTAAAGGTATAGCGCGAACATCGCATTATCTACACACATAAAATTTTATTTATTAAGCGTATCGACATTTCTTTAGAATGATAATTTCGCCGAACAGATATATAGGAGTGAACGTTTTGTCACTCCTTATTTTTGCCGATATTAAACAATTTCATAACTGACAATTAAAAAGGCAATTGTAAAATATTCATATGCGAGAAGATCCCGGATCATAATAATCTTTATTCATTTTAACTAAAATCCGCACAAAATCATCATGCAAAAATGTATACCTGAGACTTTCCCACTTCAAGCCGACTGTAGAATCCCAGTTCGGACCGGCTCAGGGCTATGTTGCCGGCTCGCTAGTGCTGCCGGCTATTGTTCCGTATTCCACCGATGGCCCTTTTCTGTGCTCTTACGAGTTTATTGATTTCGTGTCTATGAACAATTCGCATTGCCAAACTGATCGAAGGTGGATCGACGGTAAAACTGCTATAAAACGCCAATGCAAAATATGATGAGGAGATCGACGACAAGGTCGAGCGTTCAGTGCTGTTGGTGAACTAGATTCGTGTTGATATCAGCTTCGAAATAAATTCCACGAAATATTTGAATATGTGACAACAGTAGCATAATTATAAATTTCATAAATTATAAACGAAACAGTCCATCCTATTTTGTTTCACTTGTAAAATTAAAAGAAAGAGTGAGACAAACATTTTAACAGTTCATCTTGTTGACTATTAAAACAACTGTAACTTTTTTTCACTTTATTTGATTTTGCATTTTTAAAGTTCCTTTCTACTAATTTTATTTTTTAATTTTATTCGTTAGAAAACGTTTTTTTTTTTAAATATCGCGGGCTCTCTATTGCTTACTCAATTAATATTATGATAATTGTCTTTCGTAATTTTGAGATAAAGCGCCAGTTTAGGAAATAACTTAGGGAAGTCTTCAAAAATCCCCACCAATCTCATGTTGAACCATACGAAATGGAATTTAAATCTTTTTTGAAGATTTTTGGTCCCACTCTCACGTAGCCATTCTTATGTTCGTACCGATCGTTGCTTCTCGCAGAATAAATCATCAGGCGTAAACACACACATGTGACACAATTGGCACGAAGGGACACACACATACACACGCGTTTACGCGATTAAATTATTGCCCGTCTGCGGGATGACGTTCTGTCCACAGGACCATCGCACGAAGACGCATTCTTCATCATCATGTCCTATCAGGCTAGCACGATTTTCCTATCGGTCGCGCACCCTCTCGCACGTGTGTCAACTATTTCACTTACGGAAGTGTATCCTTTTAACAGCTCGCGATATGGAGAACGCGAATTCCGTGCGCGTTATTCCGCAGGTGGCAGCCGCAGGTGGCCGCAGCCGTGTGTGATCGTGTACGCACACATTGATACACGCGGCGGGAAAGTGTGCGGTCGAACGGACAACCCGGCTCTCAAAGCAGTCGAGTTGTGACTGGCCTGCCGCAGAAAGTGGAGAACGAGACGAAGAGTCCCACCTCTTGTGCCACCTCCAGTCGGAGGGTACCAGCCCACTGGATACTCCCGGACCTCCTTCGCTCGCTGACTCGATCTTTCTCTCTCTATCTGTCTCTCTCCTTCCTTCTCTCTCTCTATCTATCTGGTTTAGGTTTCACTGTGTTTTTTCGATGCGCGAGTACAACCGGTCGAGTACATCGTATGAAAATATGCGTGTGTTTCACCCTTTCCTCTTACCTGTTTCTTTTCTTTTATTTCTCCCTTTTCCTTTACATCCCTCCCTCCCTCCCTCCTTCCCTCCCTCTCTCTTCTCTTGTCCTCTTCTCTCTCTTCTTTTATCTTCTTTCCTCTCTTCTCTTGTCCTCTTCTCTCTCTTCTTTTATCTTCTTTCCTCTCTTTTTTTTCTCTTCTCTCTCTCTCTTCTTTTTCTCTTCTCTCTTGCTCAATCTCTTCAATTCTATCCTCTTCCTTTATTGTATGAAACTGATTTTCCTCTTGCGTTTACGTTACATGTAACAATTAGCTACGCACTGGCAGGTTTCCATTATGGAATTTTCCACGATACCTGACAGGTATGCACCCTCGGTTCACGGTTTCAGCTCCATTGATTCTTTCTTCTTTATATGGTGAAATCTTCGAGGGAGACACGTATGATTAGAAGGACACACGTACTTGTGTGTTATACGAATCTTCAGGGTGGGTGACCCTCCCCACCGCCCATCGTGTTTCGCTATAGTTGGCACCGAGAGACCGTTCCGGTCTTTAAGTTACGACTGGCTATAATCAGTCCCTCGTTAAGCTGCTGCTCAAGGTCGCATGACAGATAACGTACCGCCGCAAACGACTACGATAAACTTTCGGACTAAGTTCGTTTAACAGTGGATGTTGCTTAGCGAATGAGAAGCTAAGACGAATCTTAGGAATGTTTGCATTCGGTTGTGCGTATACGTATACACGTATATACGCGCTCGTGTATACGCGTGGCTTTGCACTTTGACACTTGTAATTAAAATCAACGATTCAATGGACACGATGGAAGCAAAAATATCGGAAGATTCAGGATCATGACTTTAAGTTTTATCGTGAAAGCTGTAATCAGTAAAGAAGATAAAAATAAAAGGAAAAAAAGTATATCTTTGTACTTTAACGTTTATTATTAACATAAAATAAAATTTTTTTAGTAATCTATATCCTGAACGGAAGATTTTTATTTCGGTTCATTTCATGCTTATTTTTTGCTGTATTTCAAATAACACAAAGATAAAAGAACAACACGTTTCAACAATGACGTTTTCTTCTTCTTTTCATCCTTGACACTTTAGACTTCTGTATAAAATTGGATACACATGTTATGAACCCGTATGTTATGTGAATTCAGAATGCTGCAGTATATTTTTAATGTTAATTTTACAACTTATTACCTTTACTTTCCTCCTATTACCATCTGTATATATAAACCGAAAACACTTTGCATATACTTTATAAGGTATATTGTAAATTCTGGAGAGATCTATATCAATTTTGCCGAACACTTATATTTTATTAAAAACATATTTTATTGGAGAATGTATTTTAATGTTAAAAATTTACTTAAAATTGTAGGAAGTGCATTGAAGTCTCCTAATTTTTTACTCGGAAATGGGAGCAGATAGAAACATAAACGACGATTTAAAAGACGCGAGCATTCGTTAGGAATGAATGAAAAAATGGTTATATCATAGAACGTCCGTGGCACCGGCTTAAAGCGTTTTTTAGACACTGAAATAGGCGATGTTCTCAGAACAGCGTGTTATCATTCGTTTTCTATACTTGTGTGGAAGATGTCATGGACGTGAAAAACGTGCTTTTGTGGGTGCGACGTGAATTAAAAAACCAGACCACACTCGATTTCAATGTCTAATGTACTTCCAACTTCGACTGGCACCACTGGTGCTCTATGAGCCAAACGATGTTGATCGTATTGTATAAAGAAAGGGTAACGGCAGGAGATTACAAAAATCTTTCCCAAAAGTCAAAGATCAGACAACAAAAATGGAACACAAGATGTCTAAAAAAATCTCATTTAGATATCTTTTATATAGACGTCATATATTACAAACGTCTTAAAAACGTCTGTCATACATTTTGAAACATACTTGTTATTGTTAATTCTCAGGAGATATACCCTTCGGAGGATTATTTTTAACCCATAGAGATTGTGTTGAATAATCAAAAAGTCATTATGCGTATACATATAATTCACAAAACAGTAGTAAAAAGTAGCAATTTTCGAATTCGATTTTTTATAAATACGCGATGTAAAGAGGATGTACACAAATAATCTTTGAAAACTAATATCCATTGGGTTTCAAGTGGCTCATCCACGAATTAATATGTATAGTGCTTCATTCTTTGAGAGATCGAATTGGCCAGTATTCAATATATCGAATAATGGTGAATGTTTTCGCGAATACAATGATTATTAACTTTTTTGAATACATCATTGGAAAAAATTGAAAGTTGATATAATTTCGTTTGCTATAGCACCACCAAGAGAAATTGCGTTCCATTTATTAGCTATTTGTTCGTTTAGCGTTTACGAGTTAAGGAATTTTGCCATATTGAATTAGGTCATAAATATGAATATTATATTACCATACCGTGTGTATGTTATATACGGTAAGATTAACCCCGGTGTTAACTGCTCAACAGAGTGGAAAAGGGTTTCAGATATGAGCAGGTAATCGAGAAAGGATTGTTCCAATATATCCACGGGATCCCTTTCTTGCATGCTGATAATCGTATAAGTCCAAGAAGTCCATCGGTTCGGAAGAAAAATGTCTTTCAGTATGTTGAGAAACATCGTAGGGGAATATGTCGATATTTTCGATCGCGTGAGAATGCAGATTCTCATTGCAGTTTTTTTCTTACAAAAATAAATTCTCTGAGTTACGATTAAATATTGCAGCAAATCGCGACTTTTGCAGACACGTGTGAAAGAGTGAAAAAAATTGCTCGTTTTTGAACTCTCGATTTTAGAACTAAACTGTGTGTTAAATACCTTGTAATGAGACATTAATCACAGAGAAGTTTCAAGTTAAGGTGACAATTGTATCAGAGCTGAAGGGAGAGGGGGAGGGTGGAATCAAAGTTCATTATCGAATTATCACAGGCTTGCGAGGTCCGGTATTTTAAGAAGGTTGATCCAGCCGATGAAGGCAAGACCGCAGTTGATCCAGCCGATGGAGGCAAGATCGCAGTTGCTCACAGTTTTACGTAAATGAGATTCGTTTTGAATGTAAAAAAATCGGGTTTTTGCGCAAAGAGTCGTAATACGTGACTCTCCCTTTAACTATGATAACAATTGTCACCTCAACCTGAAACTTCTCTGTGATTAATGTCTTATTACACCTACGGGATATAGATCTATGAACAAACACTGAACATTCGTTGTTGTTATTTATTGCACAAGTTATACAGCAAACGATTTAATCGAATGCTATTCAAATGCGATCAAAAAAAGGAATGAACGGCTTACAAACACGAACATAAATTCACAATAATTACTCGTTTACAAGCACTGTTCAATTTATTCGTTAACAATGTATACTCGTTTCTCTTTTGATATTATCACTCATAGAGTGAACTTGTAAAGTCAGATATGCACTTATGAACGAACACCGAACGTACAATAAACATGAATATTCGAATATTCGTTATTTGTTTAATGTTCGTTCTATGAGTGTATGCTTAGCTTCACAAGTTTGCTGTAAGAGCGATACGTTTAAAAGGAAAGCAACGAAAGTGAGACGGCATGTTCAGTTTTCGTAAATGAATTTTGAGAGCTGTTCACGAATTTTTCATACGCATTATTCGCAAACGAATTGAGTAGTACTTATACGAACGAGTAATATTTGCGAATTGTCTTCACCTACACAGTTCACGAAATATCTTTCGATGAATACTTATGTTCAACGTTGCAACGAGTGTATGCATCGAACTTTCCATTCAAACCGTTTAATATCTTCACTATTACCCTTATAAAATTTTTAAAATTATGTATTGATGCGCTTATAATTATTATATATAATACGGTTATTATATCACGAGAGCATTGTTACAGTTTTCTTAATAATATAATTTTTGATAATAAAATATTATAGTTAATAATGTTATTAATGTTACAGTTAATAATGTTATATTTTTGATAATAAATTAGTTAATAAAAAATAGTTTTATAAATATTATACATATTATATAAACAAATATAAGCAGAAACACTTAATCTGGACAACTGGACACAGGGCGCATGCGATCCACGCGACCTAAACGGAAAGTTACTGAAAATCGGTCTGTCAAGGAACGTGTTAAATAACATTGCAGATAGCCCTGAAAAGTTTACGATAGCAATTTAATTACTAATTAGAGATTTATTAAACACAGATAAAAATTTCATCTCGTCAACATTCATTATAGTTTATTAAAACAAAATAAGCACGGATCTTTGTTATAATTATCAAGAAACTACCAAAATTATTCTCTATCGATATAGATCTGCTGGAAATATGTAAGCCATTTATAAACCACTCCTTTTTACAACTAATACAATTAGCGTTATTGGCATATTAGCTACTTTATTGGCATATTAATAGTATAGATAGCAAAGATACACTAAAATAAGAATATTGATTAATAAGTAAATGTCGGAGTTATACCGCGATATACTTCTTTAAAGGGCGTGATTATTTCGATAGATTGCGTTCGCATTGCTAGAACTGAATAAAATCTCACGAATGTGCAAATCCCACGAGTGTCTGTATTCTACGTGCCTATAAGGACGTTCAGTGCAAGTGGCACTAAACGTCCTTAAAACCTTATTGTATATTATCACTGTTTTTTATTGCATACAATACATGACGTCACGTGCATTTTGCACGGGAGAAAGTCGACGTGGAACGATATTTCTTCGTAATGATCTCAATGTACTATGTTTT